GCAATTAAGAGTTACTGGTTTCTAAGGATCTATAGCAATAGGCTGGGAAGCCTTCATAAGGAAATTGTGTGGCATATTTCAGGGTTAACTACTAACAAACTGATTCATATATGAGAGAAATAAAGAATCCTGCCAAAAGCTTAGTGCATACTTTACCAAAAACTTCTATCACATGTGACTTTGGGCAAGTAAGTAGAAGTTTCACATGATATTCTGATGCATTTAACTCTAGTCTTTTTGGGGAGTTCTAGACATAAGTGTTAAACATGTTTTGATTATTACATACCTATAGCCATCATGTTTTATCAAGTGGTGACCATTATAAACATTTAAGAAAGAAAGTCAAATGTTCATAGTAATAAATGTTTTTAGAAAAGGTGAACCATGACAAAAAAAGAGCAAGGAGGAAACAAAAATCACTCCTCAATCCAGTCCCTAGACTCTGCCACAGCTAACATACTTACTGAAGTTAGGCTGGTAAGCACTTTGCTTTATGAACGTTGCCACTTGGTTGCTAGTGGTCATATAATCTTCTGCTGAGAAATGACACTACAACTCACCTAAACATGCCCCTACGGTGGGGTACAGTTAGCTTAGAAACTGTGGTGAGAAGCTTCGTGAGCTTTTTCCATAATTTAAAGGTCTAGCATTAGAAAGACAGGGCCGCGGGGTACAAATCGTTTCATGGCTATCCCCAAAGCAAGACTGTTCCTCGGAAGTGGCTGTCCCCAGGGGTGGAGTGTGGGAGGCGAGCACTCTGAACCTATGGTCTGCCTGCCAGCACCCCGCCCGCCCTGGTACACCATCCCTGCACCTGTCCACCTCCTCAAACTGGCACAAATAAGTAAGTGTGCCAGAGGTGTGGCCACTCCTGGGTCTTGGTTTTGCTGTGGTCTCTGCTCTACCCAAAGCAGGGATTGGCTGTCTCTTCGAGATTGCAACACAGGTAAACAGTGAGCAAGGCTTACCCATGCTCTCTCGGCAAGAGCCAAGAAGGGTGACGTTGCTTTTTGCTGTGTTCAGAAAGTAACCACTGTTTACCAACGAACGCTTCAAAGGCGCCGCTGTCCCTCCAGCCTACCCTCCTCCAGCGTCTCTTTCTCCCTCTGGGGCGCTCGCCTTGGCTCACCTGGCCATAGATGTCGGGGTGTGTGGTCTGCAGATTGAACCCATGAATAGCGGCAGCACCCTGTGTCCCTGGGGTGAGAGGCAGGACCAGGAGGAAGAGACCGTGTGAAGTTAACTCTCCTTGTGTATCCTGTACCCAGGGGATTTTATTTTCTGTGTTTGACATAATAGTAATAATAAAGATAAGAGTGAACATTTGTGGAGTGCTCACTGTGTCCGCGGTCGGAAAGGAAGCCCGGTAATGTTAACAGATGACGTTAACATTAGGAAAATGTGCCTTCCTCCTCTGACTCTGACCGCAGAGCATCTTCCTGCCTGATTTTATCTCCTTTCTTTTTTTCTCATTCTTACATCCTCTTTAACCTCCCCAATACACTATGGGATGGCCACAGATGCGCAAAACTAGAAAGAGAGACATGAATGGCAAAGGCATCATCCCTGTCCCGACTCGTTCTCTTCACCCTCACCCTGCTTACAAGCAAGGCAGAAGGTCCACCTCTTCAACGACAAGGTCGACGAATTTCATTCTTTACCACTTTAGAAAATTTCATTCTTTACCTGAAATTCCGTTTTCAGGCCATTGTCTGCTCATCTAAATGCGGGGGCAACCCCGATAATCTATGTTAATGAAGTGAGGGCGGTACTGCCGGGCACTCTCCACAGTGAACAGGAATGCTGGAAAATCCGGGACTTTCTGGGTAGGTAGCAGACAACCAGCCAAGCATTTACATTTGAGGACCAAGTCAAGTCTAGAACTTTTTGTGTGACAAAGACCATAATAGCTAAAATAGTAACATCTAAAGATGTGAAAGCAGAGAATCAATAGGAAATAATTACTATTTCTGCATTTGTCTGGCATTTAGTAAAGTGGCTCCATAGCTCTGCATGGGCTGTGGCGTGGGTGTTTTGATGTTCAGGGTGAGGGTCCCTCCAAGAAGCCACCTAAAGACTACAGGTCGAACTCTCGACGATGTTGGGGCATCTTCACTGCACTTCCCAAGATTCCACTGAGTTATTCTGCTGAGCAACATTTGTTTTCTAGTCCATTTCTGTTTCTGAACCAACTTCAGGTGTCCAGATTTTGTAAGAAAGCCATGGTATCCCAGTATTAGAAATCAGTCCCAGACTCTGTCCCCTTCCCAGTCTCAGAAAGAGACCATCCACAGGTCGAATGAGACTTCTGAGTAACCTAGCGACATCATTATTATCAAGAGTAATATTTTAGGGAATGTGTTTGGACAAATTATTATGCAACCAGCCTTGTGCGTGCTACTCACTTTCTGGTGACTTTGCACCTAACACTCAGCAGGTTCCCAAACAGTGAAGTTGGGGGGCCTTGTTTCTAAAATGAAGAAACTCCTTGCTGTATTGGGGAAGACTGCATGCTCAGGTAGACCAGATGCTCATGTAGATGGGGAGAAGTTGCCTTTTCCTAAGAACATACTCCAAGTGTATTCCCTAAAAAAGAGTGAGACTGGCCAGGTGTGGTGGTGCACACCTGTAATCCCAGCATTCAGGAGGCTGAGACAGGAGGACTGCTGTGAGTTTGAGGCCTGCCTGAACTGCATAGTGAAACCCTATCTCAAAAAGGCAAAAAAACAAAACAACAACAAAAAAAAACAAAAAAAACCCCTTGGGACTATTTATGTTTGTTATTTTCCTACAGTTTTTGAGAGCATTTAAAAGAATTTGTGGAACAAAAAAAAATTGTGAAGGTATTTAAAATAGCCAAGGATAACATTAATTTAAGAAAAATCATATACAATAGAATTAACATCAATATTTAAACAAAATACTAAAAATAGGTTTATAATGGGAGAGATCACCTGAATCAATATTTCATAAAGGAAGAAATACAGATAGCCACTAGCCATATCCAAAATGTTTAGTCTCATCAACAATTAAATAAAAAACTGAGTAATCAGTTAGGGAGGGGCTTTTTTCACCTGCCAAAGAAAACTGAAAAATCCTGAATGATGAAAAGTGTGGGTATTTTGAAGAAAGTTAGAATAGATGTGTACGGCGTTTCTGGAGGAAAATAGGGACATATGTAAAGAACCCTTAAAGGGTAAGTAATTTGGCCCCCAGATATTTATCCTGGGAAGCACTGGGAACCAGTCAGGCAGGAAGGGATATATGTGTGTAGGGAAATATACACTAAGTATATATATCATGATGCTATTCATTGTATTTAGTGGCAAAAAATACAAAGCACCACTCACGTCCATCCCTAGAGTACTTGCGAAGTGATTATGGCAGACCCAGGTGGTGGACCACGGGGCAACCCTTAAGAAATGGTTCCACTGAGTGAAGCGTGGCTCATGCCAAAGTAGGCATACCCTGCGCATCTCTGCGTTCTGTATACCTCGCCTGACCCAGGACCTCTGATTTAAAGAGACTCTTCTGAGACACATGAGGGCTTCACTGGTGCCCTGCTCATCCCCTTGGGTTCTGAGATCTTCCTCTCGGCCACACAATGAATCATCCAAGTTGTGGTTAAAGGTGAGGGTGCTGTGAAGCGTGATGGACCTTTTCCCACTTTTTACTTGCAGATTTTTCTCAGATCTCTGGATAATTTTGGCCCTGTCAGAACAGCAGCTCTTCTTGCCCCCTCTGCACTCACCACATTAACACCCCGCCTGGGTTTCCACACCCTTCCTTCCTGACGTGTGTGGCTGGGTCAGTCAGATTCCCCGAAGTCCATCCTCCACATGGAAGTCAGATTGATCCTGTGGAGACTGGGAGATCATAGCGTTTCTCGGCTCCAACCCTTATCAAAACCCCTACTTCCTTCAGAATACAATCCACACTCCTCAAGACAACTTGTAGGTCTGGCCTCCGACATGATTTGATTTCTCCTGTGTTTTCCTCCTTGCCTTCTCTGCTGTGGTCATGCTGTCCACTGTCTCCTCTGCAGGCAGGCGCACCGCCGCTGCAGGAACATGGAAGTACAGCCCCCTCCCACCTCAGGACCTTGCGTCTCCTTCGCCACCTCCGAGCTGTGTGTCCCCTTTGCCATGTGCTTCCTTGTGTTTTCTCCTTATCTTTTCTCATTAGAAAACAATGCCTATTTGCCTTACCTCTTCTCTTTATTCTTTGTACTCCTCAATTTGCACATCAACTTTATAAACCAAAGGGCATCTTTGCCTTTTTGTTCACTCGCAGACCTCAAGCGACTTGAAAGCCGATTGGCAACTCCTGGTCTTGTATTTACTTGTTGAACAACTGAAATGAAAAGTGATTAAAAAGATATTAATAGTAGTTATCACAGCAGTTTTGCCGAGCATTTACCATATGCCCAACAGCGTGTATGTGTGTACCACCTTGTCTGGCGCTCCCCAGGAAATCATGAGACACCCAGTTACAGAAGGGGAAACCGAGGTTCAGAAACGTGGAAGTAAATAAAGTCTAACAGCCAATACTACTTAGAAATTAGATGTAAAGCCGGTAAGTCTGAGTCCTGAGGACCATGTTCAAGCCAAAAAATGTTGCCTCTACATTACCACATTGAGACTGTGTGGGATTTAATTTGGAAAGGAGCTCTTTCTATGTCAATGCTTTCCCATGATTATTGTTCTAAATATTTGAGTCAAACCAAAGTTTCGTGGTGGCGATGCTAGGCGGTTAGCGGATTTCCATGTTATTATTCTGATACTTGGATTATTCCACCTTTTGCCAGTTGATACTTGGTTTTGCTGAAAGTAAATTAAGTACTTTTAGAAAATTTCAGGAGTGTCTTCTCCTCTACTGTAGAATAAAATCCTGCTCCTGAGTCTCCATTTCCTCGTGTTTCTGTTTCTTTTCTGCTGTTGCGTCTTCAGCCTGTCTCAGCCCAAAGTCTGTGCCCTCATAGCCCCGCCTGTCTCTCCTAGGAGAATGACATCAACCTGACGCACATCGAGTCCAGACCGTCTCGCGTAAACAAAGACGAGTATGAGTTTTTCACTCATCTGGACAAGCGCAGTGTGCCCGCCCTGCCCAGCATCATCCAGATCCTCAGGCAAGACATCGGCGCCACTGTCCACGAGCTCACCCGGGAGAAGAAGAAGGACACAGGTAAGAATGGGAGGAACCCTGTAACGCAGGTGCCTGACACTCTCCTGGTAAAGCAGCGACATAGATAACACCTACCCTAGACTACTGTGGGAGGACAAAGAGGGAGGCTGTAGGTCAGGGACCTAGACAAGGCCCCAGCATGTGGTAGGCATAGGAAATTATTCTCTGTCCACTTCCCTGAGAGAGAGAGCTGTTTCTTATCTTAGTACTTTTCAGTTTGTTGCTCAAATTTCTATATCTCTTTTGATGCCTGTGTTAGTATATCCTAAGTCTTCTTTCTCCAGAGGGGTGATGTCCAGGTGCTTTCTACTTAGATGCGAATCCAGGGCAAGATACCTGGTTATCTCCATTCCAATCAGAGGGCTGTCCCCAAGTACTTCTCCTCGCATGCCAGTGCTACAGCGAGGACGACCTGGTTCCTTGACCCGGAACTTTCATTGACCCGGTCTCTGTATCTGCCTCTTCTATTAAACTGCAAGCTCCTTGTGAGCAGGGGGTCACTCGTGTATATTCACATCCTCAGATTCAGCACAAGGCTTGGTACACAGCAACTATCTGTGGATGAATGACTAAACATAGGAGTTGTCAAGAGTGGCATCTGGTTACCACAGCTCTGCCTGTTGCTGTCCCCATGGAGTGGAGGATTTGTAAGTGTGGACTTGGGTTGAATAGACTTGGGTTCAAGTCCTACTTGCATTGCTTAGTATCTTAGAGTCCCCGGATGAGCCCTTTTGTTGTGTTAGTCCCAATGCTTTTGTGGGGATTAAGTAAGATCTTATACACATGGCCCTTGAAACAGTGCCTGGCCTGTCCCAGGGCTGGTTGGTGGACAGTGTGGTGCTGTTATGATTATGATCAGCCTCACAAGACTAGAGAGAAACAGGTGATTGCTTTTTTAAGGCCCAGAATCTATTCAGATGGACAAGGATGAATAGACTTTATTTTCAGAGCAGCATTAGATACAGCAAGACTGCACAGAAAGTGAAGAGAACCCGTCTCTTCTCTTCATCGGTCACTCTTCCTATTAACAACTTCCACGAGTGCCGAGCTCTTTGACAAGTGCTGAGCCAACACAGCACTCATAAGGCCTGCGGTGCACACGGAAGGTCCCGCTTTGTGTTGTGAGACAGGCTGAAGACTGTTGTTCTACTGGTGCTGACAGACGCCTGAGGTCGCACAGCTGCATCACAACCTCATGAGAGAGTTTTCATCGCCCTCCAAGGGTCCTGCCTCACGCTCAGCCAGCCTGCCTTCTGGCAACCATTGATTTTTTTCCTATTGCTGTAGTTCTAAGTCATACAGTTGGAACTGCATCGTACACAACTCTCAGTACATGCACCCGTGTACAGCATACAAGTCTAAAGCCATAGCCTTCTAGGCTCCTTCCACCCAGTGACACACACGTCTGCTCTTTACTTGGTAGCGCATTTCTTTCTATCGCTGAATGCCCCATAGGATGGACTTTTGTACAGTACTCACCCAACTCATGAGCACCTTGGTTACTTCTCATTTCTGGCAACTATGAATAAAACTACTGTGAACCTTCGTGGGCAAGTATTGGTACAGACATAAGTTCTGAGCTCATTTAGATAAACATCTAAGAGTGTGATTACTGAGATAAGCTATCTTTATAATCAGAAGTTTTCCTGCTGTAAAGTCAAAATGTTCTACCCCAAACACTGAAAATCCTAAATCAAGAGAATTTCAAGCACTGTGACGGGGATCAGTCAATGGACACAAAGTCATCAGGTGATAGGGGGAGTAAGTTCCGGAGTTCTACTGCCTCACAGGGTAACTCCAGGTAATGATATGATGCCACATTTTTCAAAAAAGCCAGAAGAGAAGTATTTAAATATTTCCGCCATGAAAAAGTGATTGCCGTTGAGGAAGATAGCTATGCTTATTTGTATTTGAACACTGCAGAACTTACAGCCTATGGAAACATCACAGTGTACCCCATAAACACACAGTTCTTTTTCTTTCTCCCTCTCTTTTCTTTTCCTTTCCTTCCTTCATTCTTTCTTTTCTCTTGGGGAAACCAGAACCTTGAGCATGCTAAGCATATGTGTAGGTCTCATGTATCAGTTTAAAAAATAATCTAAAAATGAAATTTTAATAGAAATGCTTTAAAATGAACCCAAACCCACTTCGCAGCACAGGCCACTGAGACATTTCCTAAAAGGACTCCCTGGCAAGCACCTCGGCCCTGGCTCTCCTGGAGGGTTAGCTCGGACCAGCACTGGCCGGCCTGCCCTGGCCCAGAGACAACATCGGTGCAGATGGGCGCAGGTCACGGAAGTTCTCCTGTCCCTTCAGCCTCCCACGCAGCCTCCTTGATGACCGCCCTCTCCTCTTTTTCCGGCCACCTGCTCCCCACAGGAGCTGCAGGGCCTCAGGACAAAGGGCCTGCGGACCCTGGGGCAACTCTGCCTCTGGTTGGAGCAGGTGGAGGCTGGGCCAGCTGGGGCCCTGGGGTCAGAAATCAAAGCAATTGACAGGCAGGCGGGCGCCCCTTGGAGCCAGGAAGATGTATGTGGGACCAGCTGGAGGGCTGCCGCCCAAACTGGATGCTTAGAAGGAAGTTCTTGTGGGGGATGTAGGGAGATAGTCAGGAGCCAGGTTCCAGAACCAAGGCGTACTGTGCTTGGGGTGCCATGGAGTGAATTCCTGATCCACTGTTTTGAGTGGGAGTAGCCAGAATGCCTGCCCCGTGGGTTCACAAACTCATACCTGTGAACACTGAGGGCTTAGGAGATGTTTGCTGTCCTTGCCACCACCTTCATTGCGGTTGTAACCACAGGAGCACGGGGGCCACAGAAGCCAGGCCGGACACAGTACTTCTTCAGAGATTCCGAGAGCTGGAACTGACCCCAGGGGTCACACAGCCCCGGCAGCTCCACCAGCTTTCATTGTAAGAACAGAGGCTGTGATGTGTGCCTCGGAGCACAGAGCGAATTCTGTCTCCTGTCCCTAAGAGGACATGATACCCAGGTCAATGTAGAGAGAGACAGGGCTGTGCAGGAGACAGGCTGAGCACCCAGCACCCTGAGCACCCAGCCTTGTGAAAGTGCAAGGACTCCTGTTTTCAGAGAGAGTCCGGGGGTCGGGGCACACACCGAACTCCCGCTCCGCTCCTCACTTGAAGCTCTCAAGGGCAGGGCCTGGAGTCAGAAGCTGGGCGCACATTTCACCTGGTGAAGGAAAAGCCAGCTAAGACCAAGCCTTTAAAGGGCGTGTGCCTCTTGCCCCTTTCTTTAGGAGTGCTCGGTCACCCACCCCATAATAGCTGCCCCCTCCTGACCTTAACCTGCAAGGTCAGGTGCTGCTGGCCCCGAGGTGGGGAGCCTGGTGGGTTTTGGTGGTCGCTTTTGTGAAGTGGACTTTGGGCTCCGAAATAGAGCTTCACATGGGAAACAACTGCTCCTCTGCCGAATTGCTCTTCCTGCGGGACGCAGGGGAGGACGGCGAGAGGGACAAAGGCACTGGAGTAGGTCGGAACCTTTGATTCTTTCTCTGGACAAAATGCCCTTTTTAATGAAGGGCTCAGATCTTGGGGGAGGCTGACAGCAGGTTCAAGTGGGAAACATGAACCCCTCAAATCAATTAAGCTAAACCACTTTTCGCTCTAGCTTTTAAATCATTCAAAAAGCCATGTGGGTGCCCGAAAATGAAAGTTTTTCAGTTTCTTAATTGCTAAAGTTCCCCACCCAAAACAGCTTAAGGGAAGGTTAATTATGGTGACATGTTAAAGAAACTCCAACCTTCTCAATCGCCTCCTGGAGAAGCTGATGGGAGTTTAATAGGATTTTAATCCAGAGAGCTTTTGAATCCTTGAAATCTATTCTCCTGTTCCCCCGTCTCCTGATGGCCTCAAATCCTTCTTCAACCCAACATGAAAGAGCGTTAATATTGGCCATCGATCAATCTACTAATCCTTTTACCTTTCCCTTTGAGTCTTCTGCATGACATTGCATTTCATGGGGGGCAGAAAATGCCTACACGGAGGCAGACTGCAGCCAGGGGAAGCAGCGGGACAGAAAGTCTGGTACATGGAGGTCTAGGGCATCATTTGCTGAGAAATGTACCTCTTTGGAGTTATTTGCCAAGAGTAGAAGGGGGCATTTATTAGATTTGGTTTATGCTGTGCCTCAAATTCAAGAGTCCTGGTAGAGAGGCAAAGTAAGTCCTGGTTTCTAGTACAACTGTTTATTCCATGCAGAAAGAAAGGTTTGCTGGCTGGCTATTTATCTCTATCTATCATCTGTCCATCTGTCCATCCACCTATCCATCCATGCATCCATCTATCTATCATCTATCTGTGCATCTAGGCATGTATCTGCCCACTTATATATGCATAATATGAATGTGTCTATGTATCACTTGTATATAGCCTGTCTGTCCGCCCACCCATACATCCATCTGTGCATCCACCCATGCATCCATCCGTGCATCCACCCATGCATCCATCCATCCATCCATGCAGCCATCCATCCATGCAGCCATGCATCCATCCATCCATGCAGCCATCCATCCATGCAGCCATCCATCCATGCACCCATGCATCCATGCACCCATGCATCCATGCATCCATCCATCATCCATCCACCCATGCATCCATCCATCCATCTATCCATCCATCCATGCATCCATGCATCCATCCATCCATCCTGCAAGCACTGACTACTATTGATGAGAAGACAAAAGGAGCTTCTTCATACTTACTCCTTCCCTCTTCATGCCTCTTCCACCACTGCCCTCTCAAGTTTTCTCTTTTCTGCTTTAATCTCCCTGGCCTGAACAGCTGTGCTGTGAAAGAGGGACATTTTGGGTCACTTTGGGTTGGGGCAGAGAAGAACAGGATTCCTGGAAGGGTTCTGAAACACCCCTGAGACTGTGGGCAAAACAGCACACGAGTGGGCCTGAATATGTTCAAGAAGAGAAGACTTTTCAAAGTGGCCATGGCCCCCAAAAGGTTAAGGTCTTCCCAACAGAGCTGCTCA